GGAGGGGGCTGGGGTCTGTGCGCGCAGGCACAGGGAGGTGCCAGTATTCCGGACGTGCTGGTTTGTGTTGGAAGGTGTGTGTTACTGGGAGGTGTGGGTGCCTGGCTGAGACACAGCTGCTGGGGAGCGGTCCCCCCCCAATACACACACCTGCAAGGGCTGGAAGGGGAAGGGCTGGCCCCTCTGCTCGCCTCCCCCACTTCAGGGGGGACTTCCCAGGCTTGGCTGTCGAGGCAGGTGTTGGATTCTGCAAAGAGGGGTTTGGCAGCTTCTGGATCTTGCTCTCCTTCACCGTGTGACCTTAAACAGGTGCCTGCTGCTAACTGAGGCACCCTTTGCTCCTTTGTGAAATGAGGTTAATGAGGCCCCCTCATCTAGTCACCTCCTCCAGCCAATGAAGATAAAATTGCTGGGACTCCAGTAGTAAATGCTTGTCTGGGTGCAGAGCACCCAGGAGTGGCACACCCTGGGAGGGGCGGGGTTAGAGAGCCTTTTAATCCTAAAGGTGTGCTTCAAGGGCACCTTATTTCACCCTCTTTTATTCACAAGAAAATATTTAGGTTCAGAGAGGGTCGTGACTTACTCAAGGTCACACAGCAAGTAGGTGGAAGAGTTGGAACTAACACCAGTTTGCTTGATCCTGAGCACAGCAGCAACTGCCCCAACACTGAGTACTGCTTGCCCTGGCCCTGTAGGTCCTCTGGGAGCTCCCCAACACCAGCTTCCTGCCTCAGGCCCACTCCTCTCTGGGATCCCTTCCTGTCCTCTCTCTGTAGCTGAACACTGGGCTCACCTCAATATAGGGTGACTAGATCCAGGCAAGCGCCCGAGAGCCAGAGGGTTGGGATAGAGGCTTCAGCATCTGATTCTGGTTCTAATCTGTGCCCTGATAGTGAATCCTACTCCCGCTGAGGCCTTAGCATCCTCCTCTCTAAAATGGGCACAAGCCTCCCACTCTATATACACACCTCCCTGCCAACCTCACGGCCCTCTCTCTCTGAAGAGAGCCCCTACTGGTTTAAGGACAAACTACTGAACCTCTGGCCTCAGAGACAAAAGGGGCCCTTTCCTGGAATTGGCCCACCCTGGGGAATTGGCCGAGAGGGGTGGGGCCTTCTCTGTCCCTATACTGTCAGGTGGCGGAGGCAGCCTGAGCAACAGCAGGCTGATGGCATACTCCCCCCTTCACCCCCCATCTCTGCCTGCAGCCACCGCAGCTGTCAGGAATTAAGGACTTGAGGCTGTGGGGGATGGGGGTGGCAAGGAGGAGGGGGAGAAGATTGGCTGGACAGCACGAAAACAGCGGAGGGCGGTTGGGGGGGGAAGCAGTCTGTGTCAGCCACAGACTTGTTTGACCCCAGCTGCCCTCTGCCCCCACCTCTCTCTCCCACCATGTTGCAGGCACCATGCTACAGGCACAGGAAATTTGGGACTAGACTTTGGGAAGGGTATAGAGAGGGACAGGGCAACACCAGACTCAACACAGGAAGGAGGCATGAACCCAGGGTGAGAGCAGGGGCAAGCCAGGCTGGGAGGTCATGCTCCCATTGGCTGCTAGAGAAACTGAGGCCCAGAAAGGAGCATGCTCAATTAGGAATGGGTTCCTAATCCTTACTCCCTGTCTAGTGCGCACACTAGCATTTCCCAGTACCCATGCATCATATGTATCCCCTGGGGTGGGCCATTGTGGGAAATACTGCTTCCAGTCCCAAGCAGCTGAATCATCCTCTCCAGGGGCAAGGCCTGGACATCTGCATTTCTAACTGGCATCCCAAGTGATTTTTGTGAGGACCACATGTGGGAAACACTGCTGATCTGCTTGAGTGGCTGATTTTTTCCTTCGGCCTCCATCTAATGAGGGAGGGTCTCTTTGCTCTCCCACCCTCTACTGTTCATGAACCATAGACATGTAGAGGAGAGGGAGAAGGCCCTTTCTTCGAAACCCCCAGGAGACAAATAATGTTGCCCAACCCTGCTTGCACTAGGGCGTGGTTCTGGCCTGATGTCATGAGGGTTTAGAAGCACCACGCCTGGGGCACCTCTCCACAGTTCGGGGAGGAGAGGGCATATGTAGGGTTTTGGTCTATGTGCAGATGAAGCCCAGAAAGAGTGCCCGCCCCAGCCTCATATGACCCACACCATGGGCAGCCCCTAGGCCCCACCCTGGCCCTGCCCTGGGCTCTGGCCCTCAGCCCAGCCCCAGCCCCCGCAGCAGCCTCAGTGCAGCCTGAGACCACAATTACAGGGGCCACTGGGGGTGGGGGAGCACCATGGCTGAAAGGCAGCTCTGAGAATGGTTCCAGCTGTGGCAGCTCTGGAGGAGGTTGCAGGGAAGGGAGTGCTGGGGAGGCACCAGGGTGAGAACAGGTGGGACCCTCAGTCCTGATGCTCTGCCAGAGAAGTTTGTCTTGGTGAAGAAGAGAGGGAAGGAGTCCCAGACTGATACGGGAGCTTGTTGTCCACTTGTCTAGGTCTCAGGGGCCACTACCCCTCAGCAAGGTAAGGGAGCATAGCTTGCTGCTTCAGCCTCCCAAACACCTAATTTGTTTCGTCATTGAAGGGAAGGGGAAATGTTTCTTGAGCTCTCAGCCTCCAGCTGATCCTGGCTCTTCCAGCCATCTCCCCACCCATCTTGCATTCAGGCTGTTCCTGATATGGTCACTCACACATCTGGAGCATCTCAGTACTCTTCCCCCATCTCTTCGATTCCACATGTCCTCCATCCCTCAGCCAGCAGGAAGCTTTGGTGGCTCAGATTGTGCCTGGGGCTGAGCAATTGGGTCAGCAACGGGAGGGGTGGGGGGAGGGCAGTGTATGATGGGATATTTTTGAGTTCTGCTTCCAGCCTCCTTCCCAGGCAGCAGTGCAAGAGCACAGAGCCCTCTCTGATCTTAAAGAGGACCAGGATAATGGTTAAAATGGTGCCTATCGGGCCATTACTCTCACCCTTCACAGATAGCTGTTCCCAGATTCCTGCTAGGCTCAGTCACAGAAGATGGACCCCTAACAAGCGACTAGTACTTTAAAGATTGCAGTGTACTTTTACATGTACTAATAAGCTACCAGGCCCTCCCCCCCACCCCATTTAATGATGGGAAAACTGAGGCTCAGAGAGATTAACTGATTTGATCAAGGTCGAGCTAGCAAACTAGGCCTTTTGTTCACTGTATCATGCTACTTCCTCTGAATTCCTTTTAACATGCTTGGGTTGGTATCAGTTCATGCCACTGCCTCAGTTTCCTTCTCTGGCATCATGGAGAAGAATGTCCAGTATCACCCACCCCATACACTCTCCACACTCCCCCACTCCCCTGGACCTGGAAGTAAAGATGGGGAGGCAGGCATCCCAGACAATCTGGAACCCTAGCAGTTTAACCTAAACTGTCTCTGGGTCTCCTTGCTTCCTTTCATCCTTTCTCCTGCCTACCATTCTGAGTTCCCTAAATGTCCTGCAGGTTCTGTTGGTCCCTTTTAATAGGGAAACTGGGCTCTGTGCACCCTCTGGTGGTCTCTGAAAGAAGTTCAGGATATTATTTTTTAAAGTATTGTACCCATCAAAGAGCTCTGGGGAAGGCAGAGATGTGAATAAAAACCCTATCTGTAGGAAGCTTCATTTCACCTCCACATGGCCCACAACACCAGTTCCACTCTCTTCCCTTTGTAAGTTATTCAAGTCTGCTTGTACAAGAAGTTCTGAGTCCAAATTCTCCATGACACTTCCCTGAAGCCCAGGCATTTGACCCGAGGGAGCCAGGAGAAGCAGGAAGGAAAACCCAGATGCTCCTTCCTTCCCACAGCAGCCTATACCCCCTTTCCATACATGCCACATGCTGGGGCCCGACCTGATCCTTGAGGTCTGAACCAGGCTAGGTCATAGATGAGGATGGAGAGGCACTGAGGGGCAGGGGGGACAAATGCACTAGAAGCCATGGTTAGGGTCTGGCATGTCCAGGATGAGTTCCCCTTCCTTCTGTTTCATTGAAAGAACTCTGCCATCCTCCCTGTGCCCCTATTCCCTGTGGTCTTGGTGGGGCTGTCAATCCCAGTCAAAGTAGTACATCTCCCTGGACATTGTTATGGCTTCAGGAATAGGCAAGAAACCCAAGCTGACCCAGTCAGGGTCTTCCTCAGGACTTCTGCTTAGAAGGCCATTCTTTTTCATATCACTAGCTCTAAGAATGTAGGCTGTCATTTAGAGAAAGTCAATCGGCAGTAGGCGAGAATGAGGATGGCATGAAAAGAGAGGCAGAGGTAAGCAGAAACAATAGATGTGGGGTGGAGGTGGGAAAAGAGATGTATGACCCTTTGGGCCCCTGGGTTCACTGTGCCTGAATTCAGTTTTACCCCTGGACTTCCAAGGTATAAGACCCATTAATTAACTTTCTTTGGACCAAGCTAGTTTTTTAAATATATGTCTTTATTGAGTTTTATAGAGAAAAGTGGGAGAGAGATAGAAACATCGATGAGATGAGAGAGAAGCATCATTGATCGGCTGCCTTCCGCATGACCCCTACTGGGGATCAAGCCCAAAACCCAGGCATGTGCCTTGACCAGGAATAGAACCTGTGGCCTCTTGGTTCCTGGGTCAAAGCTCAACCACTGAGCCACACAGGCCAGGCTGGACCAAGCTAGTTTGAGTTGGGTATCTTTATTTTCAATCAGGGTCTGCCTAATACCTACAAAAAACAACAACAACCCAGCAGCTTTCTATTCCCATTCTTACAGTAACTACCATTTATTAAGCATACATTTAACATAAATTATTCTGTGCTGAGTGCTTTTCATAGTCCAAAGATATCCTCCCCACAATTCTATGAGGACGTGGGATGGATTATAATGGTTGCAAATTCTTTGCCACATTCCCATGGAGAGGTGGAGTCTATTTCTCCTCCCCTTGAATTTTGGCTGATTCTATGACTAGTGTCGACCAATAGAGAGTATCAGAGATGCTGTGCAACTTCCAAAGCTGGAACTAAAAGAAGAGACTGGCAGCTTCTGCCTCCCAGTTTGGCACAGTCTATTTCAAACGTCAGCCTATGTAAGAAGTCCCACTACACCGAGGCCACCATGCTATGAGGAAGCCCAAGCTAGACACATGGAGAGGAAGGCCACTGGAGAAGCTCTGAGGCACTAGACATATGAGTGAAGCCTCTTTGAGTGTCCAGCCCAGCCCAGCCACCAGTGGAGTACAGCCAAGTGAATGACTACAGCCAATAAAGAGCAGAACAACCAAGCTGAGCTTTGACAAATTCCTGACCAAAAGGATCGTGAGAAGTAGTTTTGTTGGGGTTGTTTGTTATGCAGCAATGGATAACTGAAACAGGATGATAGTCCCAGTATATAAGTAAAGAAACTGAGACTCACATGATCTGTACTGTAAACTTCTAAGCAGCAGCACCAGCTTCAGACCCAAAGCTCTTGCTTTGCCCTACATACCTTGAAGGGGGCATGTACAGTATTTGGACTATGATAATATTGGGGGCTTTGAATCCTAGCCTTTGGGCTATTCCCTCCCCCATTCTCTCTGGAGGACGATGGGGGCATGAAGTTCAGCTCTGGAAAGCCCAAACCTTTCCTCTCTTCCCTCCACACTAACCGTCAGCTTCCTGAGAAAGAACTAGAAGGGAGGAAATGTAGTTGGGTGCCAGGAAAAACCTTGGAACAACTTTTCTTTGTCTCCCTCTAAGTGTAATTAGAAATGCTGTTCTGAGCAGTCTTTTCAGTGTTAATGGGGGTAAAGTTAGTTTCAAATGTTTAGTCTGATGTTAGTAATAACATATTTCATCACATTCTATAGTTCATAAAGTGCTTTAATCCTATGGGCTTGGGTGGTCCTAAAAGTCTACCCACAAATCCCCCGGGGATCACAGAAACAGAAGGGCAGATGAGGGTATCACACTCCCCTAGAATGTTGATGAGAGCTGAGTATACCAGTAGAGGCTTCCCGTCTGCTTTCCCCAAACCCTCTCAAGAGTCTGTTCCTTTAAAGAGGGATTGCTCCTTCTTCCCCGGCTTGTAGATCCAGGCCCCAGATGTGTGACAAGAGTGAACAAGAAGAATGCCAAGGGGAGATCTGTCACTCTTCACCATGGTTGAGGGACCCAGTTCTATCAAAACCATCTCCCTTTAGACACTCCTTCCAGAGCCTGGTCCCATGTCAACCCGCAGGAGACCAGCCCCCCTCCCAAACTGTGGTCCCAGTCCTATTGGTTTAAATATCTTTATTGATACTAAACTCACCCACCCAGCACATGGCCAGCAGTTCTGAGGACCCCGCATCCAGAGGCCTAGATAAGTTTCCATCTGGGACCAAAAGAGGGAAACCGCGGAGCTCCCTACAGCGTATAGTCTCCCCAGAACCCGTTAAAGCACCTCCGGGGATCCCTCCGCCGCACGGGGCCTTCCTGGGCACGCGAATATCTCCAACCTCAGTTTCCAGAGGCTTGAGAGATGGACTTTTGCCAGGGTAAACTGGGCCACGGCAGCGCCTCCTGCTGGAGCCCAGAGGTCACACAGGTAGAGAGGCAGCGCTGCGCGCCTTGGGAGAGGCCGGCGGCAGGTCAGAGGCAGAGGCTGAGCTCCTTGCGCACGAGGCACTGGTGGCACTGCACCACGCAGCACCAGTGGAAGCGGCACAGACAGTTCTCCTCGAGCTGCACGCTCTCCTCGCGGTGCCCGCGGCCGCAGCACAGCAGGTCGCAGCCGCTGAGGTCCAA